ATGTAAAATTAAAATTAATTATGTTTATATATATATATATATATATATATATAAACAGACTTTTTAATGGATTTTCTTAATGTGTAAAAATTGAAAAATTAGGTAATTAGATGGAGTCAAAAACTCCACCCACATTGAAAGTACGTGATATGAAAAGCGCCAGAGCATGCAAATTAAGTTGATTTCAAAACATAATTTTTATCCTAAAATGTGAAGAACAGAAAAACATACTTGATTAGATTTAATAGAAATGGTCAAATGCAAATTTTATTGAGTAAGATACCACAACTGGGATAGAGTTTTTGACATAAGTACCAAAAATTAGTCAAAAGTGACAAAAACTTAAGATGATTAAAAATCATAGTGCATATGAAATTTAAATAATTAATTTAAAACATGAAATTAATACGTAAGTATATAAAAATGTATGGTAATTTATAGCTACTAACATAATTGCCAAGAATTATGTTAAAGAAGACGTTATAGTTTAACAGAAAACTATTCCACTTCAAATTCATATTTTTTTTATTGTGCTATTTATTAAAAAGCTCTAATGTTCAAGGAATTTTTAAACGGATTCAATGAAATAAAAAACATAATGCAATTATCATTTTAGTTTTCATATTATTGAAATATTTTGTGAACATTAAAGAGCATAAAATCAAAATGATGGCATTAGATTAATTTACAAACAAAAATTTAAAAAAAAAAAGTTTGATATTATAATTACATTTTATGCAAGGGACAGATAGTATAAATAATTATTAGAATGTTTCAAGCTCTTCTTCTATTATTTGAACATCTTTCTTTGAAGTAGCATTACAATTCTTTCGCAGATCTTTTATTAGCATATAGTGATCTATATTTAAAATCTATTTGTACTCGGAAAAAAAAATTACATGCTTTACTGAGCATGTTAGTCTACAAAATACTTGCTCCACTGAAACTTTTACATATCTAAACATATTTACAGAATGCATAATTAAAAAAAAAAACATAACAGTTTAATAATATATGCTTATTATTAAACTGAAGAGGAAAAAATTATATTAACAATAATGTACATGTTTTAATTTTAAGTGAATTGTTTTGCAATGTTCATTGATTGTTCTGTACAAATAAGCACTGATGTATGATTGCAGAGAATTATTAACAACATATTATTATCAAAATATGATCACAAGTATTGAGTATTATCGGAAAGTGCATGGTCAGCAACATATCTACTTCCTTTTGTGTAAAATAACTAATGTTCAATAGCGGCTGAGGAATCAAAGTTAGTAAATCATCAATACTTATTTGAATAAATCATTGCTTGCCTCAATGGACATACCACATTATTAGCATTTCTACATTGATGCATCCAGTATCTTGGTGATTTCTCACTAAATTTGGTATCATATATTTCTGAAGATAGACCGAGAATATTTGCAAATATTCAAAAACTAAAGAATGAGGCCTTAATCAGACCTATCATAGCATATGCCTCAGAAACTTGGACAACAACACAGAAAGATGAGAATTCCTTGGGAATCTTCGAACGTCGGATCCTAAGATCCATTTTTGGGGGAAAACAAGTTGATGGTACTTGGTACAGACGTTCAAACTCAGAACTCTATCGGGCCCTTAGAGAGTCCGATATTGTCAAGTATGTAAAAATTCAAAGAATTAAATGGGCTGGTCACATCATTCGAATGAACAGAGAGCGTTCGACAAACATAATCTTTTCAGCTCAGCCCATCGGATCAAGGCCCAGAGGTCGACCAAAGCTGAGATGGGCCGACTGCGTGGAAAGAGACTTTTCAGTCTTAAAAGTCTTAAACTGGAAGACAACTGCCAGGCAGAGGCAGGCCTGGAGGAAGTTGATTGAGAAGGCCAGGGCCCACCCGGGGCTGTCGTGCCATTGAGGAAGGAAAGAATGAGGCAGTTTATAATAGGATTCATTAATTTCACAAAATTCCATGCAAACATCGGCAATAAAAATAATTTTCTGTTAAACAAATATTAGCAATAGATTGCTAGGCATCTTGAAACGGCAGATCCGAAACATATAAATATACACTGTTCTAAATAAAACACCAAAAAATAGCAATCAAAAAATAAATAGATAAAAGTATTTACCACAAGGAACTCTCTCTTAAAAAAAAGGAGTATCATGAGCTTACATTAATTTATGGTATATCTGATTAAGTATATAAATGACCAATTGGATTTCTACATGCCGTGAACATGTTGGGGAATATAATTTTCGAGCCCTGATAACAATAGATTTTTATAAAACATATTTTTAAAATACATTAAATTTCACAAGAAAGGTGGTAGTTAATTTTTACCCTCAAAACTACCTGCAATGCGCTATTAAAGATAGAAATCGTAATATTTATAAAAATAAAAAAAATAAATAATGAATAGAGCACAATTGAAAGTACAGAAGTGGATATACTATATTTTTGTTTCTATACACAATACCTCAGAGACTAAAACAAAAAAAAACATCATTTGGTGTTCAGACAATGAGCAAGGTTCTTATATATAGAACCAAAATTATAGTACACCCATTTCTGGATGAAAATGGATTTTCTCTATAAAATTTGAAAAAAAAATGGCAATCTAAACAAATTTCTATAAAATTTAATTTTAATAATGCAATTCATTGTGTAATAAGAGTTTAAATTAAGTAAAGACTAAAACTGAAAAAAATATAGGTTCCTCAATTTAACATACACAAAATTTTATACACATTTTTTTATTTTAATCTAATTTGCAGATAAGTAGTCACGAATTATCTCTAGTAAGTATAAAAGAGAACTAAGATATTAAAAAATTAGTAATTAAAAAGTAACCTTAATTATAGCTTTGATACATTTTTCTTTCTGTATTTAAAAAATAGGTTTACAAATTAAATCCTGCGTTTCAAATTAATCCAGAAATTTTTTTTTAACAGCTGTCAAACCTTTCCACTTACAATTCTGCATTAAAAAGGTGTTTTAAAAAAGGTTTAATCTAAATTAAATTAGTTTTATATCGAACTTTGTTACATATTGCAACACTTTTTAGTTATTAAAACTCAAAGTAATACATTAAATAGTAAAAACAAAGCAAATGCACGAAACGAAAAAAATTATATTTAAATATGCCATTTCACTATATCGTTTAACTCATTATGGATATCACCAATTTAAGTTTATTCCTACTAATGCCAGAGATGAATCCCGGGTTACAGTCAATGATTAATACTAGACAAAGAAGTTATACTAATATATCTTAAAATTGTCATAAAGTTTAATTTTCTAAATTAATGTGATACGTATTATCTAAAAACTAAGACATAGTTTGAAAGTAAAACAACATATTTCAGAGAAAAAATAGAAATGTTTCATATATGAAACACCAAAATTTTATTTTTCTTCTGATTACACAATGAAAACATTTTAGGTAACATATGAAAAGTATATTTTGTTTTACGAAATAAATGATATTTCTCAAACATAAATAGGACTTTATACTGTTTGGGATTAAACTCTACTACTATTCAAAACTACCATTTCTTTGTGTTTTTTTAAAAGTAAATTATTATTTACAACTTAAAAATATTTTTTTTCAGAGAGCTGTGATCGATCCTGAAATGGATGAATACCTCAAATATTTTGTAAGACAAATTTTAAAGAAAACAGCATGGTACTACAGATTTGTAAATTTGTTATATTTAATTAATAAACAAAATTGTTTAAAAACATTTTTGTTGTTCTTTATTTATTTCTTTAAAGAGGTAAAAACTTTTAAAACAAGTTTTATTTTTCATAATGTAGATACAAGGCCGGCCCGAGGCATAAGCCGTAGGGTGCCAAGTAAATGGGGCGCCAGAGTCAAGCAAGACAAGATTTTAAAAAAACAACTTTTTTATGGTTCTAAAAGTTGTTTGTCAAAAAATAAAAGTTAAAACGAACTTGTTTTCCTAAAATAAAATGTTGAAATATATTTATTACTCAGGTAACAAAATAATCTTTTAAACTGCGTAGCAATGCCTTCCTTGTCTTGGATCTTTTCACTGATGGTATTCTGCTCATGATAATTTACAATCTGCTGATGCAGAGATGACGGTCATTCATAGAGACTAAGGCCTGCAGAGTTTCCTTTAATGTTTCTTCAAGAAAACCCTTTGGAGATCAATAGGAGTGACTTGAGTATAGTAATTTTACCTCCCAAAATATTCTAAGAAAAATTTGTTCTGTGAAGGTAAGCATTTTTTCTGTAAAGAAAAATGGGACAAACATTGGACTATCAAACATTGGTCTATTAACAAAAAACTATTTATAAAAAAATTTCTAAGGAAAACAAATAAGCAAAAGGTGGATTCTGATATGTTAGAAAAATAAAAAATTACTGTGTTAGAGGAAGGGTATAACACACTGTTTGAATTTCCTGCTGCACAGTGTTTTGAAAGAAAGTATCCATCTAAAATTTCTATTACTTTTTCAAATTATAAAGGAATATCAGCAATTTTAGATACAAGTTACTTTTTGCTTCTTTCGAAAAGTAAATACATAATTTATTACTTACCCTCAGTTAAATTATAATTTTATAAATTTTCACTTTTTAAAATGTAAAATTAATCTAAAAGTTTTATAATCACACTGTTTTCTTTTAATTTAACCGTATACAATTTGTTAATCATGCTTTTAGTTAAAAGAGATTCAAGAACAAAAAATTGTTTTCCTTTTAACTAATGTCAAATAATGATTACTATTCACTTTCTTAAACTAGTTATTTTCTTTTCTCCAATCTATTGCTTTTCTCCATTCTATTTATTTTTATTTTTGTGTAATTAAAAAATATTTCCGATTTAAATTAAAACCATTAGTTAATTGTTTGTTAATTTCATAATTTTATCCACAAGACTTGTTAAAGCAGACTTTAAAAAATATTATATATTGCCATTTCATTGATTTAATGTTGATTTTTCAGATTTCAAAATTTTACGTCTTTTCATTTGAAAATACCTGGCATAAATGATAAGTACATAAAAATGTAAATATAATATAGATATCTAATATTTTGATTGCTCTTCTGAAATTTAGGATAGGATATTTTTTTTGCACTATCGAATTTAAATAAAAGTACATGTTTTAACAAATCAATATAGTGTGAAATCAGTTCTTCTTGAGAGTTATTACGCAGTTAAAATTGGTCATAATGTGGAAAAACCTCTTTTGTTCGCAAGCAAAATTGATTTTTCTTTGAATTAATATTTATACAAGTATGCATAGTTTTTTTTTCATGGTCTTAATTTAGTTAATTTTAAATATCGATATAACACATTATAAATGTCAATAATATACATTATAAATCTTGGGGAAGAACATTAATAGTTGTAATGTAATATTTTTGTAGACAGATCTCTAGAGGACATTGCACAGATACACAACATTAGCATAACAATTTCTTTCTCGAAATTCTATTAATAGTTTTAATATTCATTTCAAAATGTAATTTGGAGTATCTAACACAAATATAAAATATAACGAAGCATAATATTTCGTTTCAGGAAAGTTCTGAGGAAAAAATTTTAGCTTTATGTTTCATACAACTATGTTTTCAATTCCTTTTCCATAAATTTCTTTATTCTTTAAAAAGCTTTTTTCTTAGAATATATGTTAAGCTGTTAAGCTTATGTTATAAAGAAAAATCATGTTAAGTCACCAACACTAACTAAAGAAAAATAATTTTCAAGTGGGCATCAAAACACTCTGAATTATGAACGACCCATATAACAAGAATTATGTTATAGATCTTACAAAACAAATATAGGAGCATCAAAAAATCAAAAGTATTCTCAAAAATACGGATACATATTAGAAGTAGAATAAACATTATTTTTTCCTGCAAGAATAATTTTATAATAACAATGACTTTGTTTTTCAAAACAAGAATTGAAATCGAAGTTTTTTTAAAAAAAATTCCTGATTATTTATATAACATATTATATGACACTTAACTAATATTATACTATGAGGAATACATTATTTGTTATTTAATATAATAAACACTACTTTTTCCTGAAACAATTTTAAAATATCAATGACTTTGTTATTCAATACAAGAATTGAAATCAAAGTTTTAAAAAAAAAATCCTATTTATTTACATAACATATTATATGACACTCATCTAATATTTTACTATGAAGAATACATTATTTGTAGATATTTAACATAATAAACATTACTTCTCCCTACAACAATAATTTTAAAATATCAATGTCCTCGTTATTCAAAACAAGAATTGAAATCAAAGTTTACAAAATCCTATTTATTTACATAACATATATGACACTCAACAAATATTTTACAATGAAGAATACTTTATTTGTACAATTTATTTATATATTACATTCATTTATACAATTAAATTGTTATTTGTTAAACATACTGAAACACAGAAATTGATCTTCAAATATTTTTCTGAATTTAGTGAATATACGCAAAGCAGGGGATGAATATTTCATAGTACTAATAAGTAGAAAAATTTTATAACTATTTTTAACATATAAGTTAACCAAAGATAATGTAAGCAAAAGAAATTCTATTGTTTACAAAAGGCTTTTCTCAAAATGTATACAAAACAAAAATTAAAGTTAAAATCTTTTATGTTAGTTTAAGGTTTAATACTATGTTATTGCAAAATTAAAAAAATTGTGAACTAAAGAGGTCTTATATTTACAAAACTTATATATAAAATAAAATTCATATTAAGATATAAGTTTCTAGACAGCAGAACGTTTAATATTTTATAAAATAAAATTTAGCTTCTCTAATTCTTCATTTGGAAGGAAGATATTCATTCCAGAATGGTTATTTTTATAAATATATATTAATATAACTTTATCTGAAAAGATAAGGTATAGAAATCCAAATAATTAGAATCTAATAGAGGTATAGAATTTGAACCTTAAGAGATTTTATAATGATTGGAAATTTTAATCCCGAAAGGTTTTCAATTTAATCAGTAAAGCAAATAATATAAGTAACAGCGTAAGTATTTCCCAAAACATGGTCACACATTTTTTGAAAAACAATATAAATTTCTGAGTTTTTTTTTTTTTTTCAAATGCAGAATTTATAGACAAATTTTAAAATTTCCAAGATTTAAAAAAAAAACTAAAATAAGGAATAACATTGTGGCTTATTTTCTTGCAGAACTGTTGTAAAATATAAAGTGTACATTTTGAATTTAAATGTTTATCATCCAGAATTTAATGTTAAGCATGCAAAATGAAAGAATTGGTGCTACCTTATGCAGAGAGTTTAAATCAAGAGAAAGTACAACTCTTGATCAATAATAATGAAAAAAACCTAAAGAAATCTCTAGGCAATTTTTGACAAACCCATTTCCTTTTATTCTTATTCTATAAAATATCTTTAAGTGATTTATGATAATCTTTAAAACATTGCCTAAGCAACAAGATTTGCATTGTACATTTATCTCTTTCTATATTTTTGACATTGGACACATCATCTCTGTTTCAAAGATTTTTCAGGCCAATGACCAACAAAATTTGTTAAATTTTTTTTAGAGAGGATGAATTTTTTAGAGAAATTAATTGTTCAATAAGTGAAATATGAAAATCTCTATGATCAATTTTAAATTTTCATTTTCTCAATATAAATGCGTTCAAAACAGCTATATTCAAATTCAAGAAGTAAAAAAATAGCTTTATCCGGTTTTTCTGGAAAAACCATAATAATTTGCCATTCTGTCACTAAGATCGACAAACCCCATATTTTTATTGTAGCATTGCACAATCAGGCTTTTTGTTATTTTCCTCTCCAGTGGATAAGTTTTCAGCAGTAACAGCATGCATGCTACTAAGAAGAAACACTTCTCTTTTGTCTCCATTAGAAAACTTGGTATTAACTGATCCTTTTTTCAAGCATGATAATTCCTTTACAAAATTTTTCTGATTTTTTTGGACTGTCTTACAACTGTTAATTGGATGAGTATCCCTCAATTCTGTAAGTAATTCAGGGTATAAAAAAATATCTACAAACAAATTGTGACCTTTATTTCCATAGTGTTTTATAAGATTTAAGACAACAGATGATGCCGAACTTTGTCCTGGCGAACATTATGTTTTATCTTTTTCTAGAGAAACTCTCATGTCTAAAGTATATGCAGTTTCATCACAAAGTTTATAAATTTTAATGCCCCAGCGATTGTTTTTTTTTTTTTTTGGTATGTACCGCCTAAAAACTACTCGTCCTTTAAATGTAACAATCACCTCATCAATAACCAACTTTTGTGCTGTAGTATAAGCATTATTTAAGTTGGAAATTAACTTATCGAATACTTTTCTTAATTTCCATAGTTTGTCGTAATTCACATTGCTTTTACCTGGAACTTCGTCATTATTTGCAAAGTGCAAATTGCTTAATATCTCCTTAAATCTATCAAGACTCAAAACATTTCTAAAAAATGGCGTTCCTAAGGAAGCTCTTTTTGTTCAATAATCAGAAATGGCATCTTTAATGCAATGTCCACTGAGCAGACACAACAAAAAAAATTTGTAAAAGTTCCATTCGTGTTAAATCCTTCCATTCAGCAAGGTGGGATCGTTTCTCGGCTGTTATTTTATTTCATAATTGATCGGCTGTTATTTTATTTTCCTTTGATAAAAAAATATATATTTGTT